CTGGGTAGCATGGTACTGTGCAAGTGTGTGTAGGGAAAAAAAGAAGATGACAAGATTATTTTTCTGGGGGCTTGTGGGTGGAAAGGTATAGCATGGTTCAACTTACCAAACAGAAGCCTGTAAAATATGTGAATGGAAATAAAATTTAATGTGTTCATGTTCTTCCTTCAGTATGTAAGAAGGTGTTGCACTGGGTTTAAACCTCCCCCTCTCCAAGCAAAAGAAAAAACAAAAAAAAACCCAAATTCCAAATAAAAAACCGCATTAGAGTAGTAACAGGTTATTTTCAAAGCCACTGTGGGGGGTGGTGAAATTATTTCAGTCTAGAAGATTAGCTGGTAACTTTGTTCTCTGAAATAAAGCTGGATCACAGATTTAGAGCACTCTGGCTTAGCTGCCTGCCAGCGTAAATTGTAATTTGTTACCCAGAGTGATTCCAAGTTAATAGTTTGCTGAATTCTAAATGGCCCTTAGCTACTGTGTGTTGGGTGCACTTGTAATTATGCAGTGGAAATACTTCATAAATAGCAGGAAGGTATTCTACCCTGAAAAGTGCTGGTAAAGCGTAGTGGTAGTGTTAGAGGCATTGTGAGTGAAACCAAATAAGGCTGAGAAGCCAAGCAAGAGATTCGAGCTTGCCTATCTGACTAGACTATGTGAAACCTACACTCCTTGAAGCAGAGCCGTGGTGCTAGGAATGTTCAGAATGGTTGTGGCTAGGTTTACTTTGTGATCTCTAAAACACTTTTGCAAAAACTGCACCAGTGCAGTAAAACAAACTGCACATGTTCACCTTCTGATCTAAGCATTCAAAAAGAATAGTGAGGTGCCGGCTTGGGGAAGTAAATACTTGCATTGATTTCTCACAATATCTGTGCAGATGTGCAAAGGGTGGAAAAAACCTCTCTTTCTGATCCATAGACAAATGAATTCCTGTTAAATGTCTTTTGAGTATTATCTTGGAGAAGTTGAGGATTTACTAAATGTCTTGCTTAGCTCTGGAAAAAGAAAATGCTCTCTTATTTCTGATACCTCACACTGTAAAAGGCAGATCTGATTAGTGACTAACAGATGTGGAAGGGAAGGGTCTTTATGTCAGAAGTAAAGAATTCTGAAGGAAGGCTTGGTGAAATAAAAGACTATCCCTTCTTTGAAGGGGAATGTTGGTGAGGCACAGGAGGAGGAAGAAAGAAGGAATAAATGACCATTTTCTCTTTTTTTTTTTTAACAGATGTTACAGTAAGTTTACATATATATGTGTGTATGTGTCTGTATAAACGCACTTGCAGAAGTGTGTTTTGTTTTTTTTTTTTTTTGTGGACATAGCTGTAGTTTCCTAAATAGGGAGGAAAACCAGTGGTAATGTCTAGCCTTTACTCTGCTTACACCATAATCAGATCCATGAGCTATTTGCATTAGTGAAGGAAAACTAAATGTCTTACCAACACTCCTTGTGGTACCTTTTACTATGCTTATGTATGTGTCTTGGCCAGAGCCAAACCAGCATAATTTTGATGGGTGTTTTTCCTCAAAGCAGATACCTAATGTAACTGCCCTGCCAATTCCTTAGAAGTACTAGGAACTGGGCTGTGGTGAGAATCGGCTTTTGAGACAATCTCAGGCTTGGAAATCCCCAGGCCTTAAAGAGCTGTCTTTTCCCTGTCTGTAAAGCGCTTAGCGATTGGAAAGCCCATGTAGGGGCTTGTAGCAGACAAATTTATGTACAGACTTACCAGGGTTCAATTTACCACTTGCTTACTATGCCTTATGCTTCTTTCTCCACATTGGTTTTGTTTGACTGTTGAAATTCTAAGTGGATGAGAAGCACTAGTAATTTTTGTCTGTCTGTCCAATACCACCTTCTTCTGTGCTCTGCTGCTCATGGTTCACAGTTTGAATTTAATTGATTTTACTTTCCTCCCCTCTCTACCCCCTTTTGTCTACTGTTTGAGAGCTCTAAAATGTACTTCGCTATGAAAACAAGGAAATCCTTCTTTCAGAAGGAGCAAAGGACAGGAAGGTAAATAAAGTGAAATGTACATTTACCTGTTTCTAGAGAGGGGTTGAAAGGCTGTGTGCTTTGGTATATTTGGGGTTGCTAATTTCCTTGTACTCAAAGCAGTTTGTTTAAAAACAAAACAAAATCGACAGCAAACAAAATTTGAACAAGTGTTGAGAAAGGCTTTCAAAGAAGAAAAGACAATTTTACCTTGAAATAAAGCATAAACCTGTCTTAACTGATAATGGAAAAATCAGTGTTTCTTTTATAATGTAGAAAGCAGAACCGTATTATGAAAGTGAAATAAAATACGCTTTGTATTCTTTTTACCACTCTGTGAAAGTTCTGTGAACCAGTGTGGAAAGATCTCCTTGTTAAAGAAAAGATTTTCTTTCATTTCAAAGGAAACTTTAATTTAGACAACAGCTGCAGTTGTAGGTGAGGGGTGAACCAGTTGTGAAATATAGTACTTAAAAGGACAGTGTGTGAACCATCAATAACAGAATGAAGTCAGAAAACTCTGTAGGTGACTCCAAGAATACTTACCAACGTGTTTCTTTCTAATCTATCTTGGAAGGTGCATGTGGTTTGTGGAGGATGTTTAATATTTCCATTTCAGCCCCTTAGTTTGCTGCTTTCCTAGGCATGTTCAGGAATATTTTGAGGTGCCCTGCTGTGCCTTAAATGAAAGAATTATTTTATCTAGATGCATACACAGAGACAAGAGGGAGTAAAATAATAATGGTCTGTTATTGACAGTCATGAAAGATCATGCTGTGTGGGAGCTTAAAAAACACTAAAACCCCAAAGGCAATAAGATCAGAATGTGCAGCCACTCACGGCAGGCAATATGTGTTTAAATTAATTGGTTTCCCTCACCCCCTTTGTGGTAGCTATTAGGCTTAGTAAAAAGCGGAGTTGCTCTGTTAGCTTAAATCCTTGCTATTGCTTAGGACAGAAGCCTGTAAAAGGTGTCTTAATGCCCAGGGTGTCTTCTCAGGACTGGACTTGGCACTACTAGCTTTTATTCTTTTCTCCCATTTTGGCTGTATGTTGGTCTCGATTGTAGGTGGGCCCTTAGTTGCATTGTGTTTTGACCTTATATATTTCGTGATAAGGATTGCTCTAGCTGATGCCCAGATACTGCAGCACTGGGTTGGGCTTTTGCCAGGGTTGTCTGGAGTACTCTAATATGTGTTTGACCTCTTCTGTTCAGTCTTCCCTCACATTTGGAAACAGTTTTCTGATAAAATAATACAGTTTGGGTAAGCAAAGATCTAGATGCCAGATCTAAAGGCTGAAATTGCTCCTAGAGATGAGACATCTTTTGGCCCAGTTAGTGTTGCTTCACTTCTTGGATAATAGCACTGCTGCATGAGTTTGCTCATGCTTGTCTCACTGGGAAGTTCCTGTTTTTCCTTAAATCAGTGCTAGGGTTAAGTTCCTGAATTTTCTCTGGCCCAAGAAACAGAATTGCAATTAAGTTGGTTTTCTGGCTCACTTTAACTATAATAATAATTCCTTCAATAGAAGAATCTGGGTAAAGGCCTGGCCTTAGAAAAAAACAACCCAAACAAAAAAGCGCAAACCCAAAGCAGTCTGTAATTTGTAGGGCTCAAGGTGTTATGCTGAACTTCATTTTATAGTTCTAGTCAGGAAGTTGGCATGAGTTGGACAGAGTATTGACTTATGTTTGCCCTTGCATCCTTCTAGCATGTCCAGTCCGGACCCTTTTGCTAAGCAATTTCTTTAGAAAGGAAAGTGAGATCTGCGTATCTTGTCACTCAGGCATAAAGGAGCCTAGCCTTCCTCTTTGTTCTCATTAAATTACAAAGGTGCGATTTTGTCTGACAACCCCTTTTCTTCATTGAAGCTATCCTTGCTGCTCTTTGGAAATGGTTCCAAATCAATTAGTAGTTAGTACTTACAGAAGTTGCAACTCCTGGGATTCCTCTGATGTTCAAGCAGTATGTCTCTTCAGCTGGGACTGAGTCCATCCAGTGAGCACTTGCTGCTGCCTACTTGCCCTCAGAAAAAACCCAACATCTAAGTCTGTAATTAACTGAAATAAGCCATGCTATTAAAATAGTCCTGCCTGTTCCTGAGACTTATTTTTTCTCCCCTCTGCTGTCTTGTGCAGACATAACTGTGATATACTAATAGATTAGGGAATGTGTGTTGTCCCTCACCCCCACATTTTTTTTTCCCCAATTCTGCACTATATCAAAACAATTCAAGCAGTTCAATACAAAAGCTAATCAAGATACTTAATTCTACTACATGCTTGCACAAAGAAGAAGGAAGGATCTTGGTTAAATTCAGAAAGGTTTCCCTGTCTGACTTCGTTCCTCTCTGGAGACTTGTGTTCTTTCTTTGACCTGTTCCATGCATATTTCAATTAAACAGTTTGTCATAGGAGATACTTGAAATAGGCTACATGTGTATTTAAATGAAAACAGAGATATTTATAGAACAGACATCTTAAATATGGTTTCTTAATTTAGTCTGTTTGGGAAGCAGTGCAGTGAAGGTATAACTAACTGTAGTAGCTTCAGCTGCTTTGTCTCAGCCTCTGGCGAGAGCGATGTAACCCATACAGTTGCCTCAAAAGCTAGCTTAATTTTTTCCTTGCTCATGTTGCAGTTACCACTCACAGATGTAGTAAGACCTTGATTACTTCTACACTATGTTTCTTTGAAGCTCTCTTTTTGCAGCACGGAGTATTTTTACAAATGTGTAGAGGTAGTGTTTACTCAATATCTAATACCCCAGTGTCTCAGTCTTAAATTTTCCAGGGGATTGACTAGTCCTAGGACTAGTAAAAAGACAGTTAATAGGTTTATTATGCAGATTTGTTTCATTTTTGCATTATATGCCACTAACATAAAAATCCAAACACGCTCATTGCAAAAAAGCTAACACCATCCTCAGTTTCAAATTAGCAGAACATGAGTAGAACGCTCCCTTTTCTCTGTTGCCCCCTACCATTATATAAACTTACCTTTTAAGTTCTCCTGATGGACTTGCGCTCTGTACTTAATTTTCTCCATGCTTACTTTGACAGAGTGAGATTCTGCACTTGTCCTTGCTGTCATCAAAAGTCCAGTCTCTTCTCTATAAACAGCCTTCTGAGCTAGCCTTAAGATGAGAAGGGGGAAAAAAAGGAGGGGGGAGGTATTTTACATTTTTACTTCAAAACCAGCAAAACAACTTGTTCTGTACTGAAATGTTCCACAGAGTGGGCACAACATTTTTATTCTCTGTTCTGCAGAGCTTAAAGAAAAGGCCCAAGGGAACAAGGTACGTAATGAGTAACCTGACCAGGCAGTGTCTAACTGGTTTAAAACCCCTTAATTTCTCTAACTGGTGGGAACTGAAGCTCACTGGTCAGAGTGAAGGTCATTCTCTTGGCTGGAAACTAGACAGCTACATGGTGCTGCAGTTTGGTCAGATGAGATGAAATTAATCTCTTCTTTAGTGTAAGTTAGAGATCATAATTGTCTAGACTAGTCAACTGCATTTTCACTAGACCTGCAATGGGCAAAGTATCCCTTAACCTGTAGACGTATGATTAATTTTACTTGATACTTTATTTATTTACTAAATACTTAATGTTAATAAATGCCCTCCTTTTGGTTTCTGGAAGCAGTATGTGACTCTATTTTTTTTTTTTTTTTCAGGCATACATAAAACTGTTTCATTACCTTGAACAAGTTGATTTCCTGGCCTGGTTCAGATAGACTGACAGGAGGGGTTCCCCTGTATCTTTCAAGTGGAAGCAGCATCGGGGGGGGTGAGGGGTGGGGGGTGGAGGGAGGTGGAAATCAGTGGAAAAGTAGGGAAAGGTAACCCTCAGAGTTCTTTTGTTAAAGCAGATACAGGAAGGCCACGAACCTTCAACCAAGCACAGGAAACAGATTATTTGTAAGAAAGGGCTAACTCTTGTATTCACTGAAAGAAAAAGCTTCAGCTACTTGACTATCAAATAGAAAAAAAAGTGGTACATCAGATCTTTCCTGTGCATCACGCTGAATGGACTAAAGAATATTTAAGCTTCTACCACTTTTGGTTGCAAGCATTTTGCTACAGCGTCTTCAAGAGTGAAGAATCTGCCTGGGTGGAGGTTCAGTCACTAACTCATCAGTTCAGAAATATATAGCCTTAAAAATGGAAGATGGGAATTCAAGGTTTTGAAGCATTAATATCTTAAGAAGTTTTGCATGTCAGATTAGAAGTCCTCTTCAAGAAATGGCAATGATCTCAGTATGGAAAAGCAGGCATCAGCTTGAAAACTGAGATAAAATATGCTATATGGTTAGCACAGCTAGGGCAGATCATATCTGAAGTTGGAAAGAAAAAAGCTCATTCAACTGAATTCCTTTCTAAAAGTAGTTTGCTTTTATGAGTTGATCTTAGAGGCATTTGTACTATTCAGTATCAAAAGCTTCTAGATTACAGCTAAAACGGTTTTGTCAATGTTGAAGTAAAACAAACTTGGTTAGAAGTGAAAGGAGATATTTCTTATTTATATTGTCCACTGCTGAGCCTGGAATGTGTCTCTTAGAAGTTTTAGATTGAGTACGATTTTAAAATGATTGGGAATTAAAAGACAGAGAGTGGTGTGAACTTCAGCTGACTTGCATAAAACCAAGTTCTGAAATTTGGTGTATTGCAGAGTGTCAGAATGTGTTTTTAGAAGCCTAAATATGTTCACAGAACACAGAGTAAACAATATATTTTTAAAAACTTTAAAAGTTTGTTACCTGTTAAGGATCAGACCTCTTAAAAGTGTGATACTAATATTTAATACTGTCCTATAATCACATCTATTTAGCTCTGAAAGTAGCTCTTTTTAGGAATAGGAAGTGTTTTTAAAATGACTGAAGCATTCCTGTGAGGAGACTGATAGTTCATTGTTATTTGACAGTATAGTGCTACTAGTCAAAAATACTGACATTAAGAAGGCATGGGCTACTGTTCCTTGTGCTGCCAACTGTACTGCTATGGTTGTGCAGGGGTAAGAATGGGGTAAGTCCAGGAAAGTTTTGGTCCTGTGGAAGCTTACAGGGATGTTGAGTAATAAGTTATTTTGAGGTTATGATGTGATTCATAGGCCAGAACTCCACCAAATTTTATTATAAACTTTTTATAGTTGCCTCCAGGTTACTCAGAGCTGCTGCCAGAGCAGGCAGTGACAGTGGGGGTATGCGTGCCTGTTTGAATGCTTTGTTTTGTTCCTGTATTAGAAGAGTGAAGGTTACCAAAGTTGAACGTGATTTTGCAGATCGTTTCCCCAAAATAGAGAGGCACAACAGGCTAAAATATATAGATAAGAAACTCTGTTGCTTATTGTGCACAATATTTTTATCCTAAAGAGAAAAAAGGCTGTTGCTTCTGTATAATGTAAATATTTAGAAGCTTTCTAACACTATAAGCTTGTGACTTTATTTTAAGGTAAACTTCTTTTGAGATACATATTTCTACTTTACCGCCCATTACCATCATCAAAAAGTTCTCTGTATGGCAGGGATACTTCTTAGGACCACCCTCTGAAGCTGTGGAATTTTTTTGGTACAAAATAGAAGTTCTTCACTCCTATTAGAATAAGCCATAAAATGAAAGAATGATGACTTTTGGTGCATTGTCTGAATTGTGGACTGTTTTCAGTGTTTGCAACATTATCCTAGGCATTTGAGTGGGTATCTTTTTCTAATGGCTAGCTCTTGTACCAAATGTGTTTTATGGCCCATGTTGGATTATTCTTTTTAACGCAGTTCAAAGTCCACTGGAGCTAATCTGTGGCTTTTGAATTACTATTGCTGTGCTTAAATTTAAAAATTAGTACTAGATGATGTTTTTCTATCAGAATGGTAGCTCATTAAAGCAGAGAATGTAACTAATATAATTTGATTTTTTTTAAAAAAAGTATTTTCCATATTGAAAATGACAGTTCTAATATTGAATCACTGTGGCGTTTCTAAGTGTATAGCACTGAAATGTGTATCTAGGCATGTCTGTTTTTTTCATTTGCTTTTTTGAAAGCCATTTCCAAGCTGATGTCCCAGTAAAGCAAAGGGACATTCAGCTAGCTCAAGATGTTCACCACTGCATATTCTTGTTTGGATGATGAAGGAGGCAACCCTGTTCCTAAGTGTGAGGGTAGAGAACTGTGTATGGTAGATTAAACTGATATTTTCTTCATGCTCTTGTGCAAGAGTAAAAACTGAAAAGTCAGTGCTCAGTCCACTTGTCCAGTCAGACTTACTCCTGTTTCAGAAGAATTTCTATCTTCATACTGTGTGTTTCTAAACAAGGCCCTTTTCATTATTACATGCACCAGTATCCTTTTTGTTTGCCAGGTATACACTAAGGAACTGGGTCCTACCTTGCAGTTACAAAACTTCCTCTTCTAGGATTTAAGTAATTTCTTCAAGTCATTAGAATTGCTGCAGTTACAGTAGGTGCTGTGATTACTTAATCTACTTTTTAACTAAAACCATCTGCTTAACTAGTCATAAGAGCTTCAGATTCTTAGGACTTCAGAAATAGGTTGATATTTTTATTTACTTGGAGAAGTACAGTGGCTGAAGTAACCACTTAAAATGCCTTGTGTGCTGGGCTGGATAATTAGTCAATGGGGTAGTTGTTAAGTTACGGTGTATATTCAGCAGTAGTGCATAGCAGAAGTTTCAGTATTACCAGCAAATGCAGTGTTCTTTTTACTTGAGAGTGCTGGAGAGGATCTCAGTGATTTCTAGGAAGAGTTACAACTAGTTCATGTTCAAACTTAACTGTGTGGAAACAAGAGAACTGCAGCCTACTCTATTGCTCTTGTAAGGCTTTTAATGCTGTAAATTCTCTGGCTTTGAGTAAAAATAAGTCGTGATACTGTTAAAGAAGTTGGGTAAGCAGCTAGTGGCAGTGTCCTGTGGTTCCTGGCCTTGAAGTTCAGTTGTAGAATACACATGTGGAGGTGATAGCAAGCAGTAATGGCTGGTCAAATAAGGACTTTATTTTATACTTGTCACCAAAGATCATCACGTACAAATGACTAGGTGCTTCTTCTAAGTAACCTCATAAACTTTAGGAACAAGCAGTTAATGTGGGTGTGTCAATCAAAATACAAGTATACCTTGAGTGTATAGCAACTTTAATAATGTATGTTTGTGGAGTTTTTTTTTCACTGTTGTGACTGTCCTCTTTTAATGCCTCAGAAACTGTTTTGAGAGTAGGTGGTAGATTGGGGAGGAAAAGAGTTTCTGAATTGTGACAAGTCAGCAAGCAGGCCTGTATAAATGCTACAGCATCTCTATTGTCTTCACAATGTGTTTGTGAAATCTGGGCATACATGGTTATCTGCTGCAAGTCATGAAGACAGCTGGTCTGGGGAAATTGGAGAATCATAGGATTTAGATTACTTACACACCTGCATCACAGAGGGTGAAGACCAACTGTTTAAGCTATTTCAGTGACATAGAGCTCTCAAATAGCCAAGAGATGAATTCTGAGCTGGATGATAGTCTATCAGTCAAGTTAAAAAGGTATTTAGGCTCAAAATGTGCAATTGTTGACTGTGATGAGAAGAGAACTAGGCTCCTGCTAATCTAAATAGGGCCCCATGAACTAACTCTAGCTCACTGGAAACTTTCATCGGCTCCTACTGCTTGTATTGCAGTAGTGCTATTTACTCTGTTAGGATAGTGATCTGGTTCAGAGTTTATTCTGCAGGATTTACAGATTTAATTCTTGGCAGAATTATCAATTGTCCAGAATTAATTGCTATGAAAACTGAAATCAGATAAGCTAAACTTTCAGTTCTGTTAAATTGTGTTGCATTGTTTCAAATCTTTTTCCCTGCAGTCTCAACTACTCTAGCTTGTTTTTAACAAGACCAATAAAATCCATCTGCAGGCAACCCATAACACTTTTGAACTGAGTAATTCTTAAGCTAAAGTCTTCCTTTTCACAATAGGTATTTGACTGGACTGAGATGAGAATTGTCAAAGAGTTATAGGTGTACCCTGTATGAAATAAGGAAATAACTAAATCTGAAAGATTGATTCTAGAACAGAAAGCAGGATTAAGATGAAGGGTTAGAGATGGAAAAGGTAGTGAAATGGTTAAACATGCAGGTCTTGAGGGCTGGGTGAGTAACTAATAGCAGGTGGTGGAATTTAGAAGATCATGGGGTAAACCAATTTAACTGCTATATATTCCGTTGCCTGGGGGCTTCTTTGGGACTATGCGGAAGGAGGTAGGATCATTGGCTTCTTTTCCACTGGAATCATATGCTCTGTCTAAATTCCTGGAATTAATGGTTTGTGGCAGCCTGGGACTGGCTCAAACTAGCATGGTAACAACCTAGGAAAAAGAAAATACAGAGACTTTAATTACTTTGTTGTGTGACTTGACTTTGCTACTGATTCTATTAGCCTCTGGACTGCAATGTTAGAAC